CTTTTCTTGGTTTTCATTGTTGGTGAGTGTTTTGTATTTAAATTAAAACTACTAATTTGCTTTATATATTAATAGTTCATAAACTATTAATTATAGTTTTTTATTTGGTTTTAATGATTTCAATTAAAAATAGAATGAGTTTATTGGAATTGGAATTATTTGTATTTTAACTTTTATTCTTTTTAAGTATTAAATCTAAAATGAAAATGTATTAAATTGTGTTTCAGGAGATATTGATTATTTTACTTCATTTTGTTCATTTAAGACTATTTCATTTTATTGAACAGACTGTTCATATTGTATTTTTACATTCATACCCCTCATTTATTTTGTTAATATTTCATTAATATTTATCATATCCTGTATTATCCTTTCAAATTGTTTTATAATACCTGATCATTTATTATTCTTATTTGTTTTATCTTCTACATAAAAGTTAGTCTTTTATAAAACATTCACTTTTATTGATGATTTATTGTTTCAATACATTGATTATTTCTTTATTTTCTATTCTTCTTTTGTTTTAATTATTTTTATTATTGTTATTGTTTATTTTCATTTTATAAGGGATGGAAATGAAAAGAAATCAGGAATGGTATTAAAGAACATTAATAAAATACCAGATGGAATGCAAAACATCCCATTAATTGAAGGAGAGGATTTGTATAAATATTTAGGAATATGGCAGTCAGATGAAATTAATGATACATTCAATTGTAAAATCATCAAAGAAAAGATGATGATGAAAATGGAAGAAATAAATAATGATGAAAGTAGTAATAGAAGATACATTACAAGAATTAATAATGAAGTAATACCAATCTTCAGATATTCAGCATCAGTAGTAAATTGGAATGTAACTTATATAGAATAGATTTAGAGATAATAAAATATTTAAGAAAGGCAAAATACAATAGTTGTAACTCCAAAGACCGTTTATATGTCAATATAAATGAAATGGGTGAATGATTAATAAGCCTAATTGACGAATATGTTAATGAAATAATCAGAACAGTAATGTACTAATGTACAAGAGTGAAATAAGAAATAACATAATAGATAGATGGTATTCCAAGAAAGGAATATTGAATAGAATTAAAAAATCCCTAAGTCATAAAATCCCAGAAATGAAAATAGAAGAAATAATAAATGAAGGGATTGAAAATAAAAAAGAAAAAGAAGTAGTATTAAAAATAAAGAAATTAATGACCAACAAATACATCAAAAAATTGAAATCAAACAAGTTGACATTTTAGAAGATGGTTTGAGTCAAAATTTGTAGATAAAACTACTACAATAAATGTATGGAAGTCCATCAATATAAAGAAAAATGTATTTCTTCAATTAACTAAAATATAAGATGGAGTAATATTTAATGTGTACAGGAAAGCAAAAATAATAAAAAATGAAAGATTGAAGTACTGCCCACTTTGTAAATACAAGATATCCATAATAGAACACATTCTACTATCTTGTATTGGTCATAAGAAATCACAGATGGAGAAACATGACCATATTGGTATCATCATATGGGATAATAAGGAAATACACATGAAATAATCAATACAAGAAATCCTCATATGAAACAATGTTCCAATACAATAACATCACTATGATATTGAACAAACAAATAATGCAAAAAAGTGAAGGACAATTTCATAAAAGACCAGATATATATGTAATAAATAAAAAGAATAAAACATATCTAATAATTGATATGACTATTGTGGCAGATCATAATATTAATGGAGGCTATTTGAAGAAAAGAAATATGTATAAGGAATTGAAAAATATGGTAATTAAAATAGAGAAATTAAAGGATATCAAAATAATTGCAGTAGTAATTTCGATTAATGGGCTAATAAATTTTGAAAGTATTAAATTAATCAAACAATTAAAAATCGAAAATGACATCACTAAAGAAATCAAAAACCATGTAATTAAAAACATGATGGATGTCATGGAACACTGATTCTACCACAATAAAACACACTCAGTAGAAATGATAGATGAAGACTCATTGACGGGATTAGTCTCTGGTGAGGCAGGAATAATAGGAATTTAGTTCTATTAATACTTAATTAATTGTTTTATTTTAATTTTATTTTTTGCGTATTTAAACTTAAAAACATTAATTAATGGAAAAACAATGGGAAAAGTATCAAATTTTACATTCTAAAGATGTAGTACTTGAAGACTCACATGAATGGACTTTAGACACACTACGACGTGTTGGGGTTTGTTTATTTGTTGTTTGTGACTAGATGGTTATTAGTTGGTATGATAAAATTATTAATGATTAGGGATTAGATATATCATTTTCAACAAATCACCCAGACCTTGCAATTGGTTGTTTAGTTATTTGTGAATATCCTTCTGGAAAAGAGTTATTAACATTAACGTCTCGTAAAATAATTACGGTTCCTTATATTTCAGGATTTCTTGGTTTAGAGAAGTAGAGGTTTATCATGAACTACTAAACAATTGTAAAGAAAAGTATCCTGAGTTATATCCAGAAGTTGTTCTTGTTGATGGGAATGGATATTATCATCCTCGAAGATTTGGTTCTGCAACTCATGTTGGAATTTGTTGTGATATACCATCAATTGGTGTTGCAAAGGTTTGTAATTTTTGAGTTTTATTCACTAAATAACTCTAACAATGTAGACTGTATTATGTGATGATGGGATAGGAAAGAAGGAGATTAACATAGTTACTTCACAAATCAAAGCAGGTGAATCAACGATAATTAGTACTTCAAGTGGAGAAGTATTGTGTGGGGTTATAAGAAGTAGAGGTGGTAGTATAAATCCAATTGTTGTTAGTTGTGGGCATAAAGTTTCACTTTCAACAGCAGTAAATATATGTAAAGAATGTTGTTTACATAAAATCCCAGAGCCTATTCGTCTAGCTGATTTAATTTCAAGAAATTTGTTAAGGAATGAAGGACTTCTCCCACACATGAATTCTAAATAAACAAAAAAATATAAAAAGAAGATTAGTGTTAAACAGAAATGAAAAGCCAAAAATCTAATTCTTTTCAAAAAGGTGTTAACAAATTAATCTTAAATCAATCATTTATTATGATTAAAAAAAGATACAAGTTGAAGAGATTTATCTCTCAAATATTGTATTATATTTTAGTAGGATAAGAATAGCTGAATTGTTTACATTAATAAATAAAAGGTGTAAAGATTCACTTCAATTATTACATATCAATCCATCATATTCTGTTGAGAAAGCTAATGAATATTTTCATATTAAAGAATGTAATTTTCAACTCCAAAAATCATTTGTAAAAGAAATGAAATTATTTCCTCATCTAGAAACAATCTAGTTTACAGAACAAACAATTCAATTTCTTCCTTTAATTCAATCACAAATTAAATTAATTCGACTTCCTGTTATTAGTCCAGAATCTACAATATTAAAAATAATTATTTGAAAG